TTGTTTGTTTGCTTGTTTGTTTCCGGTCCTGGGAATCAAACTCACAATCTCCTGCTTGCCAGGCAGGCACTGTGCCGCTGAGCTAAATCCCCAGCCCCCTGTGTTATTTCTCTTCTGGCCATTCTGTGTGTGCTAACACATTTAACCTGTAAATTATGAGGTGAACCATTACCTTCGTATCACAGATGAAGGAACTAAAGCATGGAGAGAGAAGTCATGTAATGCCACAAAGAGTGAGTAAAAGGGTGGACTCACAGTTGAACACTCTGGCTCTCGTCTTCCTCTGACCTGCTACGTGGTGCTGCTCCCTTTAGGCATTATGTTCAGTTGCTAGTAACAGACAGTATAAGATTGGCTTAAATAAGGAACTTATTTTTCTGTCTTGTAAAATAAGACCAGAGATGGTCAACATAGAGCTGTGTGCTGGCTTCATAAAGTCATCAGAGACCCCGGCTTTTCATTCCTTTGCCCTGCCATCCTGGATGCAGCATACCCATTCTCATGGCCACAGTGTAGCTGCTAGGGTTCCAGTTATCAGGACCATATCCCTTATCAGGACCACATCCCAGGCAAATATAAGTAGTAGAAATGAGGAAAGAGCAAAAGGATATCACCTCCTTCAAAGAGCTTTCTCAGTCACCAGCCTGGTGCAAGGGTGATTAGGAAATATTTTTCAGGTGGGCACACTGCTTGGATTTCCTTTAGTAATAAAGAAAGGGAATGCATATTGATGAAGCGGCCAGCAAATTTTCACCACACCGCATTACTGCTATTGGGGACTGTGCTGCAGGGACATCACGGAGGAGGAAGGCGAGAGATGCAGAGGTCGAGGGCGGCATGACCTCCCTCTCTGGCAGAGACAGTCAGCTTCATACATGGAGGATGGAGAGTTAGGAGCCACCTTCTAGAGAACCACCTTGGTGCCCTTTCTGGTCCCCATCAGCCTGGTTTCTGCAGGACTGTGACTGATGGAAAACTTCAGGTACAACTGTTGCAAGACAATGAATGCTGTGTCTGAGGACCTTATCAGCAGAGGGAACAGTGAAGATGTGTGGGGTGTCTGGTATGGTTGTCACTGAGTGAGTTCAGATGTTGGGGGCTCAATGAAAATGCTACAGATGAGGGGCTGGGGATTTAGCTCAGTGGCACAGTGCCTGCCTGGCAAGCGCAAGGTCGTGAGTTCGATTCCCGGTACCGGGAAAAACAAACAAAAACAAAAAAAAAAAGAAAATGTTACAGATGAGGCTGTTTCTAGAACATTATTGGCACTGAAGTTGCACCATTCTGTTCAAATTTCCCAAGAGCTGTGGTGATTCTGCAGGAGGAGAATTTAGTGCATGGCCCTCCTTAGCTTGTAAATTTATAACAGAGCAGAAACTATTTTAATTTTAATAAAAAGGCCCATATAACCCAAATGGCTGAAAAGAAGATACACAGAAAATGTAAATGAAGGAATTTTATAAATTCTGAAAGTTGTTAAAATGTTACTAAATAAAATCAATATTTCACTCTAGTCATTGATATACAGCAAGGTGTGATAAGAATATACTAAATATTTATGTTTTAAAAATACATTTCAGGGGCCAGGGATATAGCTCAGCAGCACAAACGCCTGCCTGGAAAGTACAAGGTTTTGAGTTGGATTCCCAGTATATATATATATATATATATATATATATATATATATATATATATAATATGAAAAAATATATATTTATCAGAATATGTATTTATCTGATATATGTATCAGAAAAAATACATTGCCATTAATCCCCTCAAAATATTTCCCGTCACTTCAGACACATTTATCACATCACTCTTGCCACTTTCTGAAGCGGTTCTGAAAGTCTTTTTGCACGTCTCCTTAGTTGTACTACCATGGCTGCCTCAGTGTTCTGAATCATTTCAAAACACTTACCTTTTATGGTCACCTTGACTCTGGGGAGCATCCAGAAGTCTGGTGGTGCAGATCTCGTGACTAAGGTGGGTGAGGACACATCGTAATGTTCTTATGAGCCTGTGTCTCTGTTCCATGGCACTTGGGAGCAGCATTCACCGTGTTTTTTTATCACACCTTGTAAAGACACTCCCAAGAGGACTTCCTGGACTGCTTCAGCAAGTGACAAAAAAGACGAATAAGTGTGTTAGGGGGCTGTATTTTGAGGGTGACTAATGGAGATATGTCTTTTACTGTAATAAATTTTTTAAACATTCACCATATATTTTGATCACCCCCATATGTCTTCATAAAACACCTGTCTATCTATTACTGTGTGACAGACTACCCCAAACTTAGTGGCTGACCAGCAGCGTTGAGCTCTTAAACGTGAGGTTGAGGAGCTTGGTGGGGCTCAGCTAGGTGGTCTTTGCTCAGGTGTCTGGCTCAGCCGCAGCCAGACGGTGGCCAGGGCCTGGATCCCCTGCCAGCTTCTTCCCTGGGAAGTCTGGCCTCTCTGCTGCGAAGAGTCCCACAGCCCCGGCTCCTCATCCCTCGACTTCTCTACGTTCCTCCTCTGCTGTGCAGCAGCCTCAGATTAGGCTTTTCACGAATGGGTCAGTCCTCCTTCCGCCCGTGACTAGAGAGAGGGCGGTGGGGAGGGAGAGGAGCCGTTGTACATTTTCCCAGTCACACAGCGTCACTTGCGCCACAGTTTCTACACTGAGGCAGCCACAGATGATCACCCGAGTTTTGCAAGGGGATTGTCTTGGTTCCTTTTCTCTCATTGCTGAGACAAAATACCTGACACCTAGAATTAAGGAAAGAAAGGTTTATTTAGCTCACAGTTTGTGGAGGTTTCAGTCCATACTCAGCTGGCTCCAAGGTGGGGTGGGATACGGCAGAGGGTAACAGTTCATGGCAGCAGAAGATAGTAAAAGCAACAAGAGCAAAAGAGAGGAGGGGTGGTAAGCAGCCTCATTCCCTCCCTTACACTGAATGCAAACTATCCGCCCCAGGGCAGGTGTAACACTCACATCCATAATTCCAACATTGGACTGTGAATCAATCATAAACTCTAGAAGCCCGCCCCATGACTGCATGAGGCTTTGAGGGGACATCCAGACACAAACCATAACAGGGATACTTCAGGTACTGGGGAGCACATGCCTGTGGCTGTTTTTAGAAAATATAAATCTGCCATGCTCTATAAGCATGAATCTGCCCTTTAATTCTCCCAACAACCCTAGACAACGATATGAGATTGTTATCCCCATTTTATAGATGAGAAAATGGAGGATTTCCGTGATTAAGTCATTGTGTTAATGAGTATCAGCTGGTTTAACTCTAATTCTGCCTGCATACAAAGCATTTAACCCAGGCTGGGGCACAGGATGAGAGATCATGTATGCTAGCTAGCTGTTACTGCTTCTGCAAACAAAGACTATAGAGAGTTCAACTTTGTTGGAGGAGACGTTCTCAGACTGGAAGCCAGCTTCTGCAGCCTCGTCCCACCTCTTATAATCTTCTGTAGTTAACTAACCGGGGCCTTGAAGTCATCCTGAAGCTGATTTTCTTTAATACACGGTCTTAGCTTCTAACTGTTACTTAAGAAGTAATAAAAAAAATCATAATAAGGGGTGATATATATTTCTCAGGAATCAAAGGTTATGTAACTTCCCCTCCGGGTCTTCTCTAAAACCTTTGATAAGAGATCCCCAGCTACACTGCAATTTGCTTCAATTAGTGTCAGACTTACAAGACAGGTGAAAATCCAGTGGAGGGAACTCTTTTGGCTTCTGGGTGAGTTGTCTGTCTTCTGTAGCAGGATTTTTCCATGATGGTGTTGTGGTCAGATGTTCCATTTTGCCTGACCCAGGCTGCTTTCCCCCTTGTTCTACAGCTGCGTGCCGCCCTGTTCATCTGTGTCTGTCACCCGGATGATGTGTTCAGCATTAACAGGGGGGATTTGGTATCAGTGCCTGGGTGTCTCTGTTGCTTAACCCAAATCTAGCACCATTGTTAGGAAAATAGTTTATACTCTACTAATCATGAGAAGTGTGCTTTTTGGAAGGATAATAGAATTATTTCCGATTATTGCATGTCAGCTAAATAACAACCATTATATTATCCCTTTCTGGCTTATTGATTTGTAAGCGCTGAGTAGAACAATATAAAACAAAAGATAGGCCAGGCGCGGTGGCACACGCCTGTGGGAGGCTGAGGCAGGAGGATTGCTGTGAGTTCCAGGCCAGCCTGAATTGCATAGTGAAACCCTGTCTCAAAAAGGCAAAAAAAAAAAATGAAAAAGGACAAGACTTTGTCCTATGTAAAGAACATGGTTCTTTTTCAATCTCATTTTCCATTTCCTTAGCCATTCTATTTAGCCCTCCATTGTGTCTCCATATTTCTTAACTGTATTTTCTTTTCTCTCTTTTTTTGGTCTTTTTGAGACAAGATCTCACTAGGCTGGTCTTGAACTTACTTTGTAGCCGAGGCTGGCCTGGAACTCGCAACAATCCTCCTGCCTCAGCATCCCGAGTACTGGGATTACAGGCGTGCGCCACCGTGCCCAACTCTATTTTCATTTTTTTAAACCTATTTGGTGACCTGCTTAGGTCTGCCACCTCCTTCCTATGTTACCTTGGGCATATCTCCTAACATTTCTGGATTCAGGGATGAAATAGAGGTGAATTCTGACTTCCTGAAGCTCCTGGGAAAATTAAACAGATGATGTATATAAAGCTCCTTGCATAGCGGCTACACATAGCAAGCCAGCAGCTCTCAATTCTGGCTAGGGAGTCATTGGTATCCCTGTAGTAGCCTTCCAAACACGGAGGTTTCTGGAGTTTACCCTTCAACAAGCTCTGACTCATGAAGTCTGAGACTGGGGGTGAGGAACCTGCATTTTGCAAAGCTCAATAGCTCACTGAGCTTGAACACACTCTTAGAAGTACTCAGGAAGTGTTCAATACAATCATCTGCTCCGAACTTCTAAATATTTCAAGCTCATATGAAATAAAACCTCAATTTTTTTTCTTTCCCCCTGATATTTTCATCTTAGCTGCGGTGAGGCTGTGGAAAAAAACAAGCGTCTCATCACAGCTGATCAGAGGGAGTATCAGCAGGAACTCAAAAAGAACTATAACAAGCTGAAAGAGAACCTCAGGCCCATGATTGAGCGGAAAATTCCAGAACTCTACAAGCCCATATTCACAATTGAGAGTCAAAAGAGGTAAGAAGGCAGCAGAGGAGGCCTCTGGCTGGGAATGGGGCATGCTCTGCCGCTCTCCGCTGGTGAGGCCCTGGAACCTTCCAGACGGCAGTGAGGCCTGCAATCAGGCATGGAGCCAGGGTGACCTGCACAGCCTGCACCCCCAAACCTTCCCTGTGGCCTTGTGCCCGCGTCTCCCCCAAGCTGCCTTACACCCTGGGTTGGTTTCGGTTGGATTGTTTGGGCACAGCGCAGAGGGGTCTCGGAGTCCTTTATTTACTCATTTACCGAGTTCTCCAGGATTGATGTCTTTTTCTGGTGAGTGATTTCCTCCCTTACCCTCTGCAGAAAGCTAATAATCATCCTTCTGCATCTTCTCTCCTTCTTTCTCTTCTGAATTTCAGGGAGTCCTTCCACAGATCTAGCTTCAGAAAATGTGAGACCCAGTTGTCACAGGGCAGCTAGAAAAGCTGTCTTTACCCATGAAGACTGAAGCCGGTGACCAGGAGAACAGCTCACTGGTATTTACAGCACCGGACAGCTGCACCCTAGACCGACCACACACTCCATCCCGAGACAGTGCTCTGAAAGCCAGGGGAGGCAAGGGGCTACAGAATCGCACCCAAACGTACCCTGATCAGACTCAGGCCAAACAATGGGGAGGGGCGCAGAGGGGACAATCAAGGGTGACTGTATTTATTCAAGTGTACTTTCTGCATTGTTGTATAAAACAAAGCTTAAGTAGCTTCTCCTGCAGAGTGGGCAGTCACTGGCCACAGGAGGAGTGACTTCCTCTCACCTGCCTTTGAATGCACAGGATAAACTCACCTTGCACAGAAAAGCTCGTCCACCAGCCTATCTCAAGTGACCTTTGCTTGCCTCCTCTTTAGCAAAAGGGAGAATGAACTTCTAGAAGCACAAAACACCTCAGCCAGTCTCTGAGGGAAAGCCTTACTCCAAGCCTAAGCATGATGTTTGAGAATCTGGGAATAGATTATTTGTGAACTTGCTGTGGTCTCTGGTAGAAGCAGACCAATTGCTGTATAGTTATATTGGCTTTATTTTTTATGGTTAAGTTAATTTAACATGCTTTTATAAAAGAATACACTCAAAGCACTTATCTAGGTGATACATGGTACCCAGAACTCAGTCAGAAATTGCTGATTCTGCATCTACTTAAATGGAAGCGGTTTTCCTATAACATTTTGCTTTTTTTCTTTATGCTTGCTCTCATTTACTCTTTTTTTTTTTTTCCTCTCTGGGACCAAGTGTCTTTTTATAAAAAGATAATATCTCTGCTTTCATTTCAGAATATTGTACTGTCTGTCCACTAAAAAATATATTTGGTTTTGAATTCTTCTGACAGTGTACTTTAAAAGACAGATGAACAAAGTTATTGTTTGAGAATTAAGTTATATATTTTTAATATGATTGATATTAAAGATGAGATAAGAATTGCAAACAAAATGTTTCCCTTTTCCCCTCCTGCTTTTATACTTTGACAATTCAAAAAGTTGTAAAGCTTGGACGTTGCTTCAGGGAAGCAGAAACATGCATAGTGATGACCTGGGTCATGGTGTGCTGTCCAGGGTGGCGCCTCTAATGTGATCGTTCACCTTGGTGGCCAGGACAGAGCATTTGGTTTGGATATTCCTGAACTTTTTGTTTATACAATCAGCTATCATGATCTTATATTCTGAAAGAGAACATTAAAAAAAAGGGGGGGGGACCTGGGGATTTAGCTCAGCGGCACAGCATCTGCCTGGCAAGCACAAGGTCGTGAGTTCGATTCCCAGTACTGGAAAAAACAAAAAATAAAAAATAAATAAATAAAAGCTATTTGTCTACGTGCCAAACTTGATTTTTTAGGCACTTGGTGCAAAACTTTTTCTAAAGTGTGTGATATACCTAATTGCTTTCCTCTTGAGTACACATGACACACTTTAATTGCACATGTATGTATCACCATCTGTGTGGGACACACTGTGTGAGAGCAAGGTTAAAAACACCATCAGCTGGGTGTGATGGCGCACACCTGTAATCCCCGTGCTCAGGAAGCTGAGGCAGTAGGATTGCCTCGGCTTCATACTCTTGTGATCGCTTCTAAATGTGAGGTTTGAATAGAATTTGAATAGTTTAAGGCCAGTTTGTCCTCCATAACAAGATGCTGTCTCAAAACCAAAACAAAACAAAGCCGTTTTCATAGTCCTCCACAGTCCCTCAGTTTAGAGAGGAAAGAAAAGTCGCCTTTTCTGAGTGACTCAGGATGGGCTATTGTATTTTGCTTCCAAACAGTAAGATAGGTGCTAAGTGATACAGGGCTGGCTTTTAACTCCAATTGCCCTAATAGCCTAGAATCTCTGGTTAAACACCCCCTGCTTCTACATCCTGGTCTCAGTTTTTGTTCTTCAACCTGTTTTGTACCATGGTGGGCATACTTGCTTAACTTAACAAGTGCAAGGGATGTGCTCATTGCTGCCTTCTAACCCTTCACCCCACACTCAACACACTGAAGACCCACAGTAGACATTTGTTGGTTGACTAAATGAACAAGGGAAGTGTGAATAGCCCTGTTTCTAAAGGAGCTCTGCCCAATAGAAATATAATGCGAGCCCTACATATAATTTAAAATTTTCTAGTAGCCACATTAAAAATAACCATGAAGAGCTGGGGAGTTAGCTCAGCGGCACAGCGCCTGCCTGGCAAGAGCAAGGTCGTGAGTTCGATTCCTGGTACTGGAAAAAATTAAAAAATTTTTTTAAAAAACATGAAAAGAGACCAGTAGTTAATTTGTTAATTTTACCAACATATATAAAATATCACTTTGACTGTTATCTATGTAGAAACTATTGAGGAATTTTGCATTTCACAGTCTTAGAAATATTTTGTGTATTTTGTACGTTTAATACATGTCTACTCGGGCTAGTCACATCTCATTGCCACATGTGGCTACCATATTGGACAGAGTATTCTAGAAGCTTCCAAGTTTTCTAACTTGATGCCTCTGATCTGTGGGATCAAAATATAGATAACCAAGATTGTGGGAATAGTGTCTCAAGTAAAACTGTCAGAATTTGGATCGTTAACCCTGGGGCCCACCTAGGAGTTAAACTTTGGCAGCTGGAAAATGTGGACTCATCTATATCAGCTCTCGCTGCCCACTCTTTGTGGGCTGATTCCCAGCTCTTTTCTCACTTTAGTTGTCTTTTAGGTAACAACCATAAAGTGAGGACACTGCTCTGCTTGTTTGAATAATGGCCTGAGCAGAGAACGTGGACATTGGTCCTCTTGTGATCGCTTCTAAATGAGAGGTTTGAATAGAAGCATTTTAAAAATTTTTAGGCTTTGGGCAAATGAGGCCTTGTGATTGCTAAAAATTAAGAAACCTGATATGGGGGCTGGGGATTTAGCTTAGCAACACAGTGCCTGCCTGGCAAGCACAAGGTCGTGAGTTTGATTCCTGGTACCAGAAAAAAACAAAACAAAAAAATCATTCATTCTAAGAAACCTGATATGGCCTGATGGCCCTCTTGATTTCACTCTACAAAACCCTTACAGGAAAGCTTTTCTGAGCATCTTCTGGTTAGCTTCCTGCCCTCCCTCCCTGAGGAAGATTGAAGGTACAATTGTCACCATCATTTAAGAATTTTAGGAAAACATGAATATACCTGGCTGAGCTAGTCTTACACTCCATAGGCATGCTCTCCATGACAACAGATTAATTTTTTTAAAAAAAGCAAATTTTCAGAGCCATCACTGATAATTCTGACTGAAAGTATATTTTCAAAAACAAGAAACTTTTGTTTTGCTTTGAATGTATTACTAAGTACTTGTTATCTCAGATGTTGTAAAACTACTATTGATTATGTATTATTTTATAAAGAAAAAAACCTAAAGATCCTAAATATGTTGCCAGGTTGCTAGGGATGACCAGATAATAAATACCCTGTCTAACCCTTTTTGGACTTAAAGCAATGCTTCCCACTCTTTTTCACATCCGAGGTATAGGCATTACCTGTTAAGGCATAACAAATAGCTTCACATACTTCAGCTTGAAACAATAGAAGCAATGAATATTGCACCCAGTTGTGGGCTGGGACTATGCCCGTGGTGTAGCGGTGCAGTCTGACCTGGGCTCTTGCATGTGGCTACAGTGGAGAAGTTGGTCAGAACTGCCATTATCTAAAGACAAGCTGAGACTACAGCCTCCTCTTCCAAAGTGGCTCATTGATATCCCCGGAAAGTTGGCACTGGTTTTTAATGGGAGGCCTCAGTTCTTCTCCATGTGAACTTTTCCCTCAACCACTCGACTAGACTCCCGTCACAGCAGCTTCTCTCCCCTAGCGTGTGTGAATCAACACAAGCAAGGCAAAGAAGTCATATGCCCCCATGTCTGCCATATTCTATTTTCAAAAGCAAGTCACTGAGTTCAACCCCCATTTATGGGGAAAGCAGTTAGGTTTGATGTTTCGAATGGACAGCATTAAAGAATTTTTAAACATATTTGAAAGTCTGTAACAAGACACATTTAAAAACTTGTATTTGTTGTCTCACTGGGGGAAATGGATAAGGCTACTTGCTGCTGGAAATGACCAGCCCTGGAACTCTGCCTGCCCCAAGTCCTTCCTGGAGGGCTAAGGCATTTTAGCATCAAAGAATATCTACCACTCAGTGTATGGGTGTACCAGGAATACTACCTGTAGTAGTATTCCTAGCTCTAGGGTGGTACTGAGTAGAAAAAACCTAAGAGTAAATCTCAGTTGGCAATCTTTTGTAAGAGATGAAACTCAACCTCAAAATGGCATGGTTTAAAGAGGGTAGTAGTATTTATCATTCATTTGAGAAGAATTCAAGGTAGTATTGCTCCAGACCCAGCTTTATTCAGGACTTCTAAAACATGTCCTGGATACATTTTTAAAATCACTTCTTTCTCTTGGTTGGTACAACCCTTGGACTTTCAGAAGTGGTTCCTAGAAATTCCAACTCATCCCTCATGGCAAAGGCAGTCCTAAGCCTCGCAACCCCATACTACGAAGCCCCACAAACGATATAGCTCCTGCATCCCAGAATTCCTGGTGGAATTCCTTGGGTTCTCTATGATTAGACTGGCAGGTGCAAACCAATTTCTTCCCTTGCGCTATGTGGCTGACGACAGAACTGTGAGCTTCTTGGGAAATCAGAATAAAGGGGAATGGGAGTTGAATGAAACTGCTCACTTTAGGTATTTACATTTAAAATAAACTCATTCAGAAGAAGAACTTCTTTGGGGAGACCAGGTTTACCTCTAAATTATAGAATGTCCACAACCATGGCCTGGCAGGACTGTCCTGGGAGGAAATACGTGTTACCTGCAGAAGAAGATTTGAGACTTATCCTGTCCTGAACAAGAGTGAGGACAGCAGAAGATGGAGGTGGTGATGTTTCGCTGTGCCAGTAACTCATGTAGTGAAGTAACTCGACAAAAATGGTGTAAATGATCAGAAATCAGAACTACAGACCTGAAGGGGGATGGAGTACGAAGGGTCAAGGCAGCAGTGAAATGGAATAAAGTCAGGTTTGTGTAGAAAAAGCCAACAATTCAAATTACGTCTTCTGTGCAGCACTATTCTTGCGCCTGGCCCATAGTGGGTACTTGGTTGAATGTTTGTGAGTGACCAAGGTAATGAATGAGAGCGGCCACTAGTGATGCTGCCTGCCACACTACTCCTTTTCTGTAGCTCCGGGTGAAAAGCAGCACCTCACGGGAGAAATGACAGGATCAGTTAGTCCCGAGGAATGGCTTCCATTCACTTGACTTTACCCATGATGAATGCATGGGAAAGAATTGTTCTTTTTTCTACTGCTTTCTCTCAATCTACCCCCAGCACTGTCTTTAATCATCAAGCAAGGCACAGTGGGACATATCTATAATCCAAGCACTTTAGGAGACTGAGGCAGGAGGATGGCAAGTTTGAGCCCAGCCTGGACAATTTAGTGACTTAGTGAGACCCTGTCTTAAAAAAGAAGAAAAAAGTCTTGGGAGGAAGCTCAGGGCAGAGGCCCTGGGTTCAATCCCCAGTGCCACAAAAAAAAAAAAACAAAAAAAAAAACCTTAAACCCAACTTTCCAGAGCCTGATTTAAAAATGAAATCTCTGGGGTTGGGGATATAGCTCAGTGGCATAAGCACCTGCCTGGCAAGCGCAAGGTTGTGAGTTTGATCCCCGGTACCACCAAAAAAAAAAAAAAAAAAGAAATCTCTGATTGCAAGTTTTCAGTCATGAAATTGCTGGGAGAAATGAAGAAATGCAGCATGGTTAAAGCCTTAATGCTGCAGCATGTTTTATTTTGGAGGAGCACTGCTCTCTGGAAGGATGCTACTGAACCCATCCCAGCTCCTGCTTTGAGGGGGACTCTTGATCATCTTTACTATTTTTCCCACATATTGGCAAGTGGCAAAGGATGTCCAACCTGTGGCCACATGCACCCTTGAGCAGCTGGTAATGCGGCCCTACAAGATCATAAACCTTTAATGTGATTCTTAGCTATGTATTTCAGGACTTGATTGCACAATGCTGGTGCCCAGACTGTGTAGGCAGCAATGGAACCTGGGTTGTGAAGGACACAGGGCAGTGTTTAACTGCCTCCTGTATCCACCTCACAGTGAGTCCAGCTGAAACCCCCAATGAGGCATTATATGTATGTACGTATACAACTTGGGGCACGTAAAACAGCCTTTACCAATAACAGCGTTACAACCCGCCTACACATGTATACCTGTGAAGACAGGGGTTTCATAAGCAGACATGTAAGGGTTTTTTTCTATTTTCTTTTTTGTCTTGGGTCTCACTATGCATTTCAGGCTGGCCTTGAGCTCACTTTGTAGCCCAGGCTGGCCTCAAACTTGCAACG